GTGGTGAATTTTCACTTTTATCATAATGAATATTAGAATTATGAGGTCCAAAGAGTTTGTGACTTAACCAAGTTCTGCAGGTGGTTATTGGCAGAGCTGGACTCTAAACAATCTCTCCCAGGCCCTGACCAGCACTTTTTCTATGCCCTGGGATGTCTGTCTTTACAGAGCTCAAATTGCACTCAATCTACATGGGTAGAAAATCTTATGTATGAGTTAATTAAAGAATGATGAAGCCTATGGTCAAGTACACATGGAGCAAAATCAGGTTTCACAATATACAGAGCAGACAGGAAATGTTGTAGTTGGTCCAGTCCTTCCTTGACATCCCCACGTTTGATTGGCAGTGGCTATAATCTCTGCACCACACCAGCAGGCAGTTAGTCATTAGCTTCAGAAGCCCAGCATGACATCCTGGACAGACACCTGACAAATCACTTAACCCTCTCTCGACAACTTATTTCCCTAATCTGCAAAAAGGATGTAATACCATCCTTAGCTAAGAAGCACATTTTGTTATATACATCTTTTTGATATTTTATATTTATTAGAATAGTATAATCATTTGCTCGTTTATGCCCTTCCATAGTGTATAATTAGAAACATGTCTTTTATACCTGTTTACTATCCAGAAAGAGGTGACAGATACCAATTGTGAAAATTCTATTTTCTTCCTTGATAGTGTAGTTTAGGTCTCCATTCCTTTTCACCAGGACTCCGGAATCAGCCTACCAACTGACTTCCCCACCTCCAGAGTCTTGGTCCCTTTATGCACATTCTGCATGCTGTTGTTATATTAACATTCCTCAGATTCAACAATTATTTTATCACCCCGCTACTCAGAAAATGTCATAGTTTCCACAGATCACTCACTTACCTCCTACCTCCAAACTTAACGTACGGACTCTTTTGCTTAGAAACCCTCTCCTATATCCTTCTGGGCCTCTTTACATCCCAACCATCCTTGAAGGCTCAGCTTAAGCACCCACCCTTCCTGGAGTATAACCCTTTTTCTGATCCCACAAGCCAGTGGGATCTATTACTCCTTTGAACTTTCCTAACACATTCTTTTCATTTTCCCTATGAGATTTAACACATTCAGCCTTGCATTAGATATTCAGGTATTATTTTATTATTCTGCTAGGTTGTAAACCCTGTGGGGACAGAGATACTACATACCCTTTTAGCATCTCAAGTTTAAGGCCAATATTGTACATGAAAGTCAGGGTGGTGCAGCAGGAAAAGCACAGGTTTCGAGGTCAGACATCCTTGAATTTTAATCCTGGCTCTCTTTCTTGCCTTTCTGTGATCCAGGACAAGTGATTTAACCTCACTCCAGGGCTTAGTTCTCCTCAGCTAGAAAATGTACCTTTCCTGAAAAGATTGTTTTGAGGCTTAAGTTAGATAGAATAAAGTGCTTCTCAAAACATGGCCCCCTAGGTACTCAGAAAAGCCTGCTGAAAGTACACCTTTTGAGTTCTTAGTTACTTGTCAAGGCTCTTCCTGTTCAGATTAGAGGCACTGAGAATACCCAACCCACTGCAAGGATACTTTGACCTCTACACTCAGATATAAGGCTTTCTCTTTGGCTGTCACAGTATCACTGAATCAGAATCCACGCCAATAAGCTGACATTCATGCCAAACATACATACAGACAGCACCGGGTGATGTTTCCTTACAAGACTCTTTTCAAGAAGGCAGAATTTGGATGCTCTTTTTTAGATTATAGCTACAGTGTACTAAACGCATCACAGGAAGTAAATATACAAGCAAGTTAAGGAACATTTCTGTGGGCTTAATTATGTTTTTATTCTCTCTGAGAAGTAGACGCACCACATGCACGCATGTATTTTTCTTCCTTCACCTGTTCTGGCTCCCTTGACGTTGTAAAAATATAAGCAAGGTAAAAGATATTTTCCAGGGTAGAACAAGATAAAGTGTTAAATGGAAGAGCAGCTGGATGTTCACCAATAGGTGGAAGGCCTCAGACTTCTCTCAGTGGAGTCAAGTCCATCTCACTCACATCTTGCTCTGTTTTTCCTTCCAAGAGGGAGGGAGTGGGGTCATGCAGTTTCCATGGCGCTCCATCCGGCGGAAGCCTCAACCCCATCTTGAAACTTGTGAAGAAAATCTAAATCCAGACCCATGATACTGATTAGCCTTATCCTCTTTTTTAGTTAACGAGAGATGCCAATCTCTAAGCTCCATGAAGGTACAAACATTAAGCACCTATTATATGCCATGTTGCTAAAAGGGATAATGAGTGGTCCATGCCCATATTAGAGCAATCCCCGTCACACCCCATGGCCTATTTCAGACATAAAATATTATGAAATCAAAGGGGAGATTATGTAAATAAATTTAATATAAAAATCAATTTTGGGAGCGACTAGCAAAGTTATTAATTAGAACTCCCTTTACACTTATTGTCAAGCCTAACCATTTGTTTTTGAAGTAAAGGCCTTCCTCCATAGAGCCTGTCATTGAGAAATGTGTCTGAATTTCAGAAAGTATATGTGAATTTCAAAGCTTTCTATTTCTTAGCAGTGACTATTTTTATATAACAATAGTTGCGATTAAGGTTTAGCCATTGCTATTAATCAAACAACTAAATGTTTATTTTAGAAATTGCTGTGTCCTCTCATGCCTTTTCTTGATTCCATAGTTTTATTAGGGCTTCACAATTCACCCAGTTTCCCAAGCAGCCGTCCTGGGAATTATCCCATACTCCTCCTTTTCCATTATTACCACACTCAAGAAGTCAGTACATTTTCTCAATTCTAACTCCTAAACAGTGGTCACCAGGCTCCTTTCTATTCCTTGAATTTAGACCACACCCCCATCTGCTTTTATTTAAATGAACTCCACTGGCCTCCACGGTTTCACTGATTATATTCTTTAACTGCCACCCCTGCCCACTCCAAGCTTACCCTCCTGACAGGTGGTGTGTCTAGCTTATAAGTGCAAATTTGATGACAGCATTCCTATACTTTGTTGGTTCTCCTTTGACTAACAATCATTTCCATTTGACCAATGCTTACTGACTGCCTCCTGGTGTCAGGGATTGTATTAGATACTAGCAATATAAACCCCAAAGTCCCCAATGATAGTGGAGTGTGATAAGTCCTTTAATAGCTTATAAACTTGGGAATCGACTGAACTCAAATTCATGTTCCTTAAAGAAACCTACCTACCCTTCATGACCTGACCTTAAATCTCCCCTCCTTTCCCCATGTATTATATACTACATCATATCAAGTTATCAGAAATCCAATCACATTTTATGTACTCTTACCTTTTTTTTTTTCTGGCGGTGCGCGGGCCTCTCACTGTTGTGGCCTCTCCCGTTGTGGAGCACAGGCTCTGGACACGCAGGCTCAGTGGCCATGGCTCACGGGCCCAGCCGCTCCACGGCATGTGAGGTCTTCCCAGACTGGGGCACGAACCCATGTCCTCTGAACCCATGTCTCAACCACTGTGCCACCAGGGAAGCCCTGTTCTCTTACCTTTATAAATGCTGTTCCCTCTGCCTAGAATGCCTCCATTCCTCTCAGTTGGGTAAATCCTACTTGTCCTTTTAACATTCTCCCATAACATTTAACAGGCATCACATTTACTGAGGCCCTTTTACTCCCTTGAACCTCTTATCCCTCAGCTGGGTTACATACCCACTTCTGTGCAGGCATATCAATTTAGGAGTAACTTTAGCAAAGGATTTATCAGACTGTATTGAAATTAATCTGTCAGCCTCACTCTCTAGGGCTGTTTCAGGGTAGGGACCATGTCATTCATTTAAGTGCCTTCCTTACCCAGCACAATTCTTAGCAATAGCAGACTCTCAGTAATCATTTGCTGAAAGAATGAAAGTCCCTGGTTCATGATTTTCCTAATTATCCTTTCTTCTTATGGATATGAGCCTCTATTTAATTTATTTATATATCCACTTCTGTGGGCTTAAAACTCTCAAACTAATGCCTCAATACAGAAATATATGCATCTACTGCTCCCACCTTGTGTAATCTTTCAAAAGAACAGATTATTTGCACTTATATAGTTACATCACTGATTTTACACAGAATTTTTTCCAAGATTGATAGATGTTATTTATTCATTTGAAAATATTTATTAAGCTACTCCTGTAAACAGGATATCCAGGACATTAAAAAGTACAGAGAATCACATCTCCCACAAGGGTCAGCTCTGAAAATCATGTGTTGTCAAAGTTATTTTTAACAGTCCCTTAAATCAGAGGTCGGCAAATTCTTCTATATAAATATTTTCTGCTGTGTGAACCATATGGTCTCTGTCACAGCTACTTGTCTCTGCTGTTGTAGTGTGGAAGCAGAGACCGTATGTAAATGAAGGGGTGTGGCTATTCCAGTACAACTTTATCTACAAAAATTATGGCTCAGGGACCATAGTTTGAGGACCCTGCCTTACATTAGAAGGTGGGACAAATAGTAAAGTAAAGATGTATGCAGGGTGCTGAGGTGATTCGGAGTAGGGAGAAATCACACATTTCTCAGGGCAAGAAATTGGGAATGGGTGGCCTAGAAAGATGAATTTGCAGTTCAGAACTAATTCCAAAATACAGGTGAGTGGAAGCTATCAGGATCAGACCAAGTTAGAAAAGCCCAGGGAGTATTTTGTCTGGTCATTCAAGAAAAGTTTCAGACCAAAACGTGGAGGTATTTTTGTTAAAAGCATCCAGGAATGTTGCGACCTTGGTGACAATTTACCATTACAAAAAGAGAAAAGATGAAAGGTATGTTATAAAAAAAATAAAAATAAATATGTCCTTCCGATGTAGATGATTTTTACTGTCAATATTCTTTTAAGGTCCGAGTTCATTACTGATTATTTTTGATGATCTTACCATATAAATTCAAAAATAAAATGTGTTAAATGCGACACTGAAATATGCTCTCATTGGTCTTTTATTTACAGAACTTACCTGATGTTTCTTTCCTTTTTTTTTTTTTTTTTTTTTAATTCTAGCACCAATAGCTGCAGGAACTGGCCCAAATTTTTCTCTCTCAGATTTAGAAAGTTCTTCATACTACAGCATGAGTCCGGGAGCAATGAGGAGGTCTTTACCCAGCACATCCTCTACCAGGTAATTTGATTGATGGCTCATAAAGAGGTCATAATTCATAGTTACATACCTTGATTTTAACTCTGGGCCTGCTCGACACTTAGCAGTGTGTCTGTAGTAGTAGAAGATACTAGAAATGGGTTCAGCCCCAGTGGATTTTCAGTCTCACTGGGGAGAGAAAGCAAATGCATATGCAGCAGCATGCATATATGTGTATACACACACAGACACAGACACACACACACACAAGTCAGTGAAAAATTGTGTGGCATAGGCTGAAAATAGTTAAAGACAGCTTTATCCAAAAAGAGTGACTTGTGCTCAGCTATAAACTGTAAGCACTGGTCGGGGTTGGTGAGATGGAAAGTAAAGGAATGGTGTTCTGGGTGGGGTGGAGACACGAGCAAAGGCATGGAGGGAGGATGGATGATGAACATAGCAGATTCTCAGGAAATTAAGGACAAGCCTTGACTAGGGAAAAGGGGGTGTGTTTTGGCTTGTTTGGCAGAAAGCTGACACTGGTGACATCAGTCCCAGTCTCCATGCCCACAACAGACATTACAACTCAGTCCCAGCTCTTTTCCTACTGAGCCCCGACAGGTCTCAAAATCCAGTCTACTGGAGTTGCCCTGTGAGATGCAACCTATTTGATATCCTGGTGTGAGGATGTAAAAGCAAATGCAGTCCCCCAGCAGTGTGAGGCCAGATCATAAACACTGTTACACCGGGAGACCTTTAAAAGAGCAAAGCTAAAAGAACATAACCAGATAACAATTCTGGGGTTCTTGATTCCCTTGAGGTCACAAAGCCAAAATCAAAATGAAGCATTTTGCAAGATCCTGTTGTCTCTAGATAACCTGTACCGGAGAGAGAGGGATTAGGCATTTAAACCCACAGTATTCTTTTACAAATCGGCTTTAGCACTGGACTGTGACAACAAAGAAAAGAATGGTGCAGAACAATCTTTAATGTTTGTGTACTTCGCAGAAAAACGTTTGACAAAGGTATATTCCTCCTAAAGCAAGTACCAGAGTTTTAGGATTTAAAACAACGGCCAGATGATAGAAATTTTCCATGGTAGAGATTCATTCTTACCTTGACTTTTAACCATATTTTAAACATATATTTAATCATTACTTTAAAAAAAATCAGCTTAGTCATTACCAATACCTTGAAGACAGTTAAAGAAAGAGTTATTCCTTAAATATAACCACCAGATTCTACCATCATCTTTCTTGCTGTTTAAATGTCCCCCTCAGTTCACTGAGGTATCAGCTCCTCAGGAAAAAAAAGTCTCCAATCCGAAAAAAACACTTACAATAAAAGAATGAGATTGTGAACACATGATTGTGAACACATTTGGATGTTAATACATTTTGAGGATTTTGAATGTTTGCTGATGGAAGAGACATTGGGTGTAACTACACTCAGTGAACATGAGGTCAGTGATTAATTTAGACGTTGATGGGCTATTTGTTTTTCATATGTGTGCTGCGTATGTACCATGGACATCCCAAATATCCTTCAACTTCTCCAGCTGTTTTGTTGCCTTTTGCTGTGATTCTCTGTGTGGAAACTTGGTTATTAATGTTGTTTAAAAGGCTAGTGTTGTTCCTATAATCTGCAAATAACTAACCCTGATAAGGTGCTAATTATAAACAGCATCAGTAGTTAATACCTTGGTAATATGTTTGTTTTGCTCACATTAGGCTCTCCTAAGATGACTCTTTTAAAGTCATTCTTTAACTATATAGACTCAGCAGAATTATCTGTGTACAGGTGAGAAAATGTGCCCAGAAGAATGCCCCAGATTTACATATAGAAAAGTTCATCAACCAGTCAATATTTGTTCATGCTGTGCCACTATTAATTGGTCACCTGCTCTGTGGCAGGCACTGTATTAGGTGCTTTACATCCCTGATATGAGTTAATCTTCACAGTAATTTTACAATATAGACAGTGTTGCCATTTAACAGTGGGTCAGCCTAGAGCTCAGAGAAGTTAAGTAACTTGCCCAAAGTGACAGACCAAGTAAATGGCAGAGTCTACATTCAAACTCAGGTCTGTTGGAAGTATAAAACCATGCTCTTTTCACACTGAATCCTCTTAGGAATGAGGCTCTCTCTTTTAGTAAGGAACAATAGAATGGGAAGCCCCCAGAAAGGAACATCCAGCATCTCTACTTTTCCTGGACACTTAGCATTTACTATTTTGAATTATTATTATCATCTTTGAGGTATGTACAGGTCCTGCTTCCCCATCTGGACTGTAAATCCCTTAGAGAACAGTGTCTAAGTCTTCTAAATCAGCAACAAACATTTATTAGGTCCCAAGGATATTGTCCTAGGCACTGTGGATATGAAGTCAAGTACAGGAGCTTTGCAATCTCGAGGTAGAGACTAACAAATGAATGGAGATTGTCAGTTCAGGGCACTAGGAACGCTCAGGAAAGATGTGTTTTGCTGTTTTGTGGGGACAGGGTAAAGCTTCTAGGCTTTGTATGTAGTAGGAACTAAGCAAATATTTGGAATGAAGGTAGTAGTCTTACCTTAATTTCTAGGTAGAATTGATAGGAACAAAGCAAATTCCACACACAAGAGAGACTGCTTGGAAGAGTATTTATCCTCCCTCTTATGTAGAGATCTTACTGGTCCTTTCCAGGGTTCCTCAGATGTTTCTGGGAGAGTAGAATCAGTGTGTTAGAAAGTCAAGAGCAAGAAACCAAAATTAATGATTCATTTCTGAATTTAAAAAAATAAAGAAGACTGATAAGCATTCGCTGTAGGTTCTGTACCCCTTCATAGTACACATCTGCAAAATCATAGAAGGGTAGTGTAAAATTTGGGATAGTGTATACTTTTTTAATCCCAAAGAAATTCATCAAGATAAATCAACTGTCAAGTTTGTGAAGTCAGTAAACTTTGTCTTGGAAGCCCTCCACTCGTCCTTCCTGGCACTTCTAATTTCCTTCCCTCCTGCATCCTGTTCTCTCCTCCAACCTGTGTCTCCACTTCCAAACATTTATCCTGTATCAACCCTTGACAGTCCTTGCTTTCAAACCAAGGGGTCAGCTAATATCTACAGATTCTTTCACCTTTAGGATTTATTAACTGCATGAGTATTTGCATTTTATTAGAGGACACCAAGGAAATCAAAAGCTTTAGAAACTCAGTAAAGTATTAATAATGGGAGAATGACGGGCAGTGAAGTTGGCCTTTTGGGTGGGATCTCACTGAGTCATGACACTTGGGCGAATCCTTGTCACAAGTTCATATGACTGTTTCTAAATCTGTAGCCAATAAATAAATAAATAAATAAATCTGTAGCCCAATTCAGCAGTTTTTGAGCATCTGTTATTAGTCAGATACTGTGATAGGCACTAGAGATTAAAAAGAACAAAACAACAAAAAAAAACCCTGACCGTCTCCTTCCCCACAGATCTCACAGTTTTATCAGAATATGCATGTCTCACCTTTTATTTGCCAAGGAACATAAGGAAAATATTTATTTTGTTTCCAGTTTGTGTTCTTCCAACTTCCAAAATTACTTCAAGCGTTTTTCAATTTAAAAACACTACAGGTAGTATTAAATATAGAGAGGACAGAAACCATATGCAAAGATAGGAGAGATTATTATATCAGGAACGTGAACCCAGAATTATGCCTTACGTTTAGCCCTGAAATTCCTGGTTGCCAAGGCAAGAAGGGGAAACACTAGGTTATATAATGTGCATTTTCTAATAAAAGGGAACAGTAGAAATTCATTTAAAGAGACCATATTTTTTCTGGTTTTATGTATTAGGAGGAATTTTTGTGTGTATATCCTTTTATAAAGGACTTCTATTAGATGCAGTTTTACATAAAATACAGAAAAGTTCTTTGACTGGCTCTTTTTCATTGAACTTCAAGGAAAGCCAAGCAAAGAACATTAAATAAGCTATTAAAGGTTTTTCCTTTGGGTACTAAGCTAGCATGCTACAGATATGTTGCTTTCCTGTGGTCTGGCTTTAATGAAAATAGAACTTAAAAGACTAAGAACCCTGGAATGCCAAATGTAATAACTAGAAGTTCGTACCTTGAACTGGGCCCTCTGCATTTTTTTACTCAGGTTGCTGCAGCAGCCTCTTAACTCTCTCCCTGGGGAAGGTTCATCCCCTTCTTTTCCCTTTGCTTCTCAGGAGCCATCATCTGTGCAACTACCAGAGTGACCTTTCTAACAGATGACTCTGATGTCACTTCCTGTTTAGACTTTTTCAGGGAGTCTCCATTGCTTATAGGATAAAGTCCAGACATACAATATCTTCTATCACCCCTTCCCCCCTTCTTCTGCTCTGCCCTTCCCACTACTTCTGCCATAGCGAACACCTGCCAATTCCCTGCATGTGTCACACTCTTCTCATGGTGTTGTTAGTGCCTGATATGCACCTCCCTCCTGGAGTGATGTTCAAAATAGCAGATAACCTGTGTGACTCAAGCATCCCAGTTAGGACAGACCTGCCCCGCCACAGTGTGAAGTCCTGGAATGCCCCCCTGATGTCCCAAACCTTATTAACCCTTCAGGTTTGGGATCATGAGTCTGTTCTGGCGCAAAGGTGGAATGACAAGGTTGGGGGAAATGTATGGGGCATGGGACAATGGCACTTTACCAACTGGTAAAGAAGTATTTCAGTATTTTAAAATCCAGAATGGCTGCCTGAGGGGTGCATCAGCTGAATAACAGCCTGTCTCTGCCCTGTTCTTCTTTCTGCCCCATCACCTGACACTCTCTTACAGACAGTTCAGGAGCCATCTCCTATGGGAAGCCTTTCCCGACCTTCCCTGTGTTTCACTTTTCCTAACTCCTTCAAAGAACCCACTGTAACCTCTGTGTGGTTCCATCATCATACCTGTATTTCTCTTTGCACAATTTTGTTTACCTCTCTGTCTTCATCCACGAGATTCTAAACCCCATGGAGACAGGGGTTATGTCTGATTTATTTCAATATAGCAGCATTTAGCACAGCACCTGGCATGCAGGAGGTGCACAATAAGTGTTTGATGAATGAACACATATTAAAAATTCTGTACACAGAATTTTAGGTCCCAACACAGGAGGAAGAGATTTCCCAACAAGCATTTGCACCAGGTATGAAATCTACCAATTCTGGTATGTTAGTGACATAATCAGTTAATACAGTGAGAACATTAGCAACATGTAGCATTTCACTACCTTTTAACTCCTGAAGTCTCAAATTGGGAGGAAAAAAAATTCAGCCCTTTAACTGGTAGAAAATGGAATATATTTTGGAAATGTCCCGACCATACCTATGCAAAACCAAAAAATCCCCACCTTGATGGCATAGAATTTCAGTTTGGTAATTTTGTTGTAGAGAAAGTGCATAAAAGTCACTGGGTCACTCTTTTTTCCATGTCCCTTATTCATAGAAGGAAGTGTACTCCTTCCTTCTTTTTTTTTTTTTTTTTGCGGTACGCGGGCCTCTCACTGTTGTGGCCTCTCCCGTTGCAGAGCACAGGCTCCGGACGCGCAGGCTCAGCGGCCATGGCTCACGGGCCCAGCCGCTCCGCGGCATGTGAGATCTTCCCGGACCGGGGCACAAACCCGTGTCCCCTTGCATCGGCAGGCAGACTCTCAACCACTGCGCCACCAGGGAAGCCCATTCCTTCTATTTTTACCTTGTTTGTTCACTGTTTTATCTCTAGTGCCTAGATCAGTACCTGGACTGCTGTCACTGTGCAATAAGTATTTTTTAAATGAACAGATCTAAATGGAAGATGAGAAAACATGGCAAAAAAACAAACAGCAATCCGAGCTTTTCTTCAAGGGTCATGCGCCCTGATTTTACTCCTTTCTGGGGTGCCAGAAGGGATTGAATTGATGTCTAGGGACATTGCTGACGGCTACGCCCCAGCCACTGCTCTAGGAGATGCAAATGTGAGCTTACTACTGACTCTTCCAGGTGGAGACAGGAGCGGGAGCCAGCCACCCGTTCCTCAAGGGAAAAAGGAACCGGAGGTGGGGGGCAGCAGAAACTCGAGTGACAATAAAAATCAAACCCAGACACTTGGAACAACACAGACCCAAGACTTTGTTCCACATCCAGTGACTCACTAAACTGAACAAGAGCCTAAAGAGAGACCATGAACTACACTGAGTTACCCAACTGCTTCCTCCCTTGGCTTTCTTTCCACCAGAGATGCCATGTCCAGGAGAAAGGTGCTTTGGATGACTTTTAAACATGTACCCGTTTGTTATTTCAGCTCCACAAAGCGCCTCAAGTCTGTGGAGGATGAAATGGACAGTCCTGGTGAAGAGCCATTTTACACAGGCCAAGGGCGCTCCCCGGGGAGCGGAAGTCAGTCCAGCGGGTGGCATGAAGTGGAGCCAGGTAAGCGGGCTGGGCAGTGGGCTTGCAGCCGCCCCTGTAAAGTCCAGGATGCATGGGAGCCCACGCCAGGCATAAAGAGAACGCAACAAGCTCAGAGCAGTGGACTTTTTCCACGTGAACACGTGTTTGTGCCTGACTGCTGCTTTTATGAAAGGGTGGTAGCGCAAGGATGCCATTTAACTGAGAAGAGAGACTGAGAATGGTGTGTAGGGTTTTCTACCCTTACATCTTTTCACCTGCACTGCAATCCAGCGTTCCATTTGCCTTTGCTTTCATTTTATGCTAATTGCCTTTTGGGTCTGGTTTTATCTTTTAATAATCAAAATAAAAATCTATCAACTTTTTCAACTACGTTGATAACATTGGAAAGGTAGAATGGGTTCCCTGTGTGATAGCTTTTGTACTTGGATCTTTATAAAATGAGGAGACTTTTAAATATGTTTTCCTGTTACTGGATTTCATCAGGATTCTTTTTCTATTTAAAAGGAACAGCTATCTTTATGCCCCTCTTTCATGGACTAAGCAAATGATGACTGCTAGTTTAACTTCCTGGGGTAGTTCAGTCTTGGCTCTGGAGTCTTGAGTAATGTGACTAATTCTGATAGCAGAAGCATTTTGAAACTTTTCTCAGTGTCTAACCTCGACATGGGCAAGGGAGAATCTTCTCCAGTGGCTTCCTCGATAGGCAAAGTCAAATGCTGTAGAGAATAGAGCGGGCTTTGGAAAAAGACAGGCAGAGTGTAATCCTGACTCCAGCTCCTGCTGGCTGTGTGATTATGGGCAAATTACCTAACCTCTCTGAAACTAATTGTCCCCATTTTTATAATCTGTCAATAATAATAGCTATGTCAGTGCTCTTGAGATTTAAATGAGGTAATATACATAACCTGTCTATGAATCACACCTAGTACAGTAAGTTTGAAAAAATTTCCCCAACCCATGCCTCAGAGTAATTCCCTGCAAAAACAGACAAGTGCCAAGAAAATCTCTGAACCCCTTCATCTTCAAATGAACTTTTTTCTCTCCTCTCTAACATATCAAAAGAGAATCCTCAGAGGGTGTGACTAAAAAGGAAATAGCACAAGAGAGATTTGGGGGATGATGGAACTGTTCTGTATCCTGTTTGTGGTGGTGATGAACAGGAATCTATACACGTGTTAACATTCATAGAAAAGTATGCCTTCCACTCCTGAACCCCCAGGCAGTTTTGCTATATGATAATTAAAAACAAAACAAAACCTCAGGCCCCACTGTCTGATTCCTTTATCTTGTTCACTTTACTAAAATGCAGAAATTTCACTTTGCCTTGCTTCTACCTAATCTTTTCACCCAACTCATTCATTCACTCACACCTTCACTGGGAACTTTTCTCATGATGAGGAACTATGCCTGGTTCTGGGAACTCAAGGATGAATGGGAAGGCTGTGGCTCCTGCTTTCAAGGAATTCACAGTGGGGGTGGGGAAGAGACACATAAGAAGATCTTTAGGGGAGACTGGTTCAAGATGGCGGAGTAGAAGGATGTGCACTCACTCCCTCTTGTGAGAGCACCAGATTCACAACTAACTGCTGAACAATCATGAACAGGAAGACACTGGGACTCACCAAAAAAGATACCCCACATCCAAAGTCAAAGGAGAAGCTGCAATGAGATGGTCAGAGGGGCGCAATCACAATAAAATCAAATCCCATAACCGCTGGGTGGGTGACTCACAAACTGGAGAACAATCATGTCACAGAAGTCCACCCACTGGAGTGAAGGTTCTGAGCCCCACGTAAGGCTTCCCAACCTGGGGGTCCGGCAGTGGGAGAAGGAATTCCCAGAGAATCAGACTTTGAAGACTAGCGGGATTTGACTGCAGGACTTTGACAGGACTGGGGGGAACAGAGACTCCATTCTTGGAGGGTACACACAAAATAGTGTGTGCATCAGGACCCAGGGGGAAGCAGCAGTGACCCCACAGGAGACTGAACCAGACCTACCTGCTAATGTTGGAGGGTCTCCTGCAGAGATGGGGGTGGCTGTGGCTCAACATGGGGACAAGGACACTGGCAGCAGAAGTTCTGGGAAGTACTCCTTGGCTTGAGCCCTCCCAGAGTCTGTCATTAGCCCCACCAAAGAGCCCAGGTAGGCTCCAGTTTTGGGTTGCCTTGGGCCAAACAACCAACAGGGAGGGAACCCAGCCTCACCCATCAACAATCAAGTGGATTAAAGTTTTACTGAGCTCTGCCCACCAGAGCGACACCCAGCTCTACCCACCACCAGCCCCTCCCATCAGGAAGCTTGAACAAGCCTCTTAGCTAGCCTCATCCATCAGAGGGCAGACAGCAGAAGCAAGAAGAACTACAGTCCTGCAGCCTGTGGAACAAAAACCACATTCACAGAAAGACAGACAAAATGAAAAGGGAGATGGCTATGTACCAGAGAACAAGATAAAACTCCAGAAAAACAATTAAATGAAGTGGAGATAGGCAACCTTCCAGAAAAGGAATTCAGAATAACGATAGTGAAGATGATCCAGGACCTTGGAAAAAGAATGGAGGCAAAGATCGAGAAGATGCAAGAAATGTTTAACCAAGACCTAGAAGAATTAAGGGACAAACACCTAGAAGAATTAAAGAACAAACAGAGATGAACAATACAATAAACTGAAATGAAAAATACAGTAGAAGGAATCAATAGCAGAATAACTGAGGCAGAAGAAAGGATAAGTGACCTGAAAGACAGAATGGTGGAATTCACTGCTGCAGAACAGAATAAAGAAAAAAGAGTGAAAAGAAGTGAACACAGCCTAAGAGACCTCTGGGAAAACATTAAACACACCAACATTTGCATTATAGGGGTCCCAAAAGAAGAGAGAGAGAAAGGACCCAAGAAAATATTTGAAGAGATTATCACTGAAAATTCCCAAACATGGGAAAGGAAATAGCCACCCAAGTCCAGGAAGTGCAGAGAGTCCCAGGCAGGATAAACCCAAGGAGAAACATGCTGACACGTGTAGTAATCAAATTGACAAAAATTAAAGACAAAGAAAAATTATTAAAAGCAACAAGGAAAAAATGACAACATACAAGGGAACTCCCATAAGGTTAACAGCTGATTTCTCAGCAGAAACTCTGCAAGCCAGAAGGGAGTGGCACCATATATTTAAAGTCATGAAAGGGAAGAACCTACAACCAAGATTACTCTACCTGGCAAGGATCTCATTCAGATTTGACAGAAATCAAAAACTTTACAGACAAGCAAAAGCTAAGATAATTCAGCGCCACCAAACCAGCTATATAACAAATGCTAAAGGAACTTCTCTAAGTGGAAAACACAAGAGAAGAAAAGAACCTACAAAAACAAATTCAAAACAATTGAGAATATGGTAATAGGAACATACATATTGATAATTACCTTAAATGTGAATGGATTAAATGCTCCAACAAAAAGACACAGGCTCACTGAATGGATACAAAAATAAGACCCATATATATGCTGTCTACAAGAGACCCACTTCAGACCTAGGGACACATACAGACTGAAAGTGAGGGGATGGAAAAAGATACTCCATGCAAATGGAAATCAAAAGAAAGCTGGAGTAGCAATACTCATAGCAGGTAAAATAGATTTTAAAATAAAGAATGTTACAAGAGACAAGGAAGGATGCTACATAATGATCAAGGGATCAATCCAACAAGAAGATATAACAATTATAAATATGTATTCACCCAACATAGGAGCACCTCAATATATAAGGCAGATGCTAACAGCTGTAACAGAGGAAATCGACAGTAACACAATAATAGTGGGGGACTTTAACACCTCACTTATGCCAATGGACAGATCATCCAGACAAAAAATTAATAAGCAAACACAAGTTTTAAATGATACATTAAACAAGATGGACTTAATTGATATTTTTAGGACATTCCATCCAAAAACAGCAGAATACACATTTTTCTCAAGTGCTCATGGAACATTCTCCAGGGTAGATCACATCTTGGGTCACAAATCAAGCCTCAGTAAATTTAAGGAAATTGAAATCATATCAAGAATCTTTTCTGACCACAATGCTATGAGATTAAAAATAAATTACAAGGGAAAAAATGTAAAAAACACAAACGCATGGAGGCTAAACACTATGTTACTAAATAACCAAGAGATCACTGAAGAAATCAAAGAGGAAATAAAAAAATACCTAGAGACAAATGACAACAAAAACACGATGATCCAAAACCTATGGGATGCAGCAAAAGCAGTCCTAAGAGGGAAGTTTATAAAAGTACAAGCCTACCTCAAGAAACAAGACAAATCTCAAATAAACAATCTAACCTTACACCTGAAGGAACTAGAGACAGAAGAACAAACAAAACCCAAAGTTAGCAGAAGGAAAGAAATCATAAAGATCAGAGGAGAAATAAATGAAATAGAAACAAAAAAAATAGCAAAGATCAATAAAACTAAAAGCTGGTTCTTTGAGAAGATAAACAAAATTGATAAACCATTAGCCAGACTCATCAAGAAAAAGAGGGAGAGGACTCACATCAATAAAATTAGAAATGAAAAAGGAGAAGTTGCAACAGACACCACAGAAATACAAAGCATCCTAAGAGACTACTACAAGCAGCTCTATGCCAATAAAATGGACAACCTGGAAGAAATGGACAAATTCTTAGAAAGTTAAAACCTTCCAAGACTGAAACAGGAAGAAATAGAAAATATGAACAGACCAGTCATAAGTAATGAAATTGAAACTGTGATTAAAAATCTTCCAACAAACAAAAGTCCAGGACCAGCTGGCTTAACAGGTGAATTCTATCAAACATTTAGAGTAGAGCTAACACCCATCCTTCTCAGACTCTTCCCAAAAATTGCAGAGGAAAGAAAACTCCCAAACTCATTCCATGAGACCACCATCACTCTGATACCAAAACCAAACAAAGATGCTACAAAAAAAAGAAAATTACAGACCAATATCACTGATGAATATAGATGCAAAAATCCTCAACCAAA